CTACCTGCCCAGCCCTTCCCTGAAGTCACACGAAAGCAGCGCCATCGAGCCCCGTGACAAGGACTCCTCCCACCCAGTGCCAGGAGCAGAGCCCCCAGGTCTGACCGGGCCCTGGGCTGCCGGCCGTGCCCGTAGCCGGATAGGACGGACGCTAAGGTGAGGTCAGTAGGCGAGAAGGAGGGCACGCCGGCCGCTTCCAGGTCACCTCCTGCCAAGTGTAGCCGTCGGCCCTCACTAGGTCTGCCCCTTGCCCCACACACAGACGTGCAGGGGGCGGGGAGAGGCTCCCTCAGGCCCTGCAGCGGGTCCCCGGACAACTCATGACCAGCCGCCCAGCCCTGCCACTCCCCTCTGGACTGTGAAATCATGTCCCCCTGCTTAAGGCCTGGACTGTGGGGTCTATCGCCTGGCGACTGGTCAGCCTCCACCTCGGTCTCAGGCCCTTCTTCCTGGTTCATTCCCAACATCTGCCGAGCCACCTGGTACAGGAGCCCTGTGCCCTGGGGCGGGGGGCACTTGCCACATCCCTGGTCACGGCCAGTGCCCACAATCACAGTGCAGTCCCTGCCCCGAACAGCGGCCTCGCCGCCCAACCTCCGGGTTCTAGGTGGCGCCTCGCAGGGTGCAGATGGCAGCGCTGCCACACTGAACCCCGTGGCGATTTTTAGCTCCAAGGGTGTTATGTCTGAGCACACACACAAGCCGGGCCTCTGCTGCGGGCGCTCCGACGCCATCCTGGCTGCTCCAGGTGCAGGCGGAGGGGGCCGCGCAGACGAGAAGGGCTGCGGCCCCGACACCGCCCACAGGACGAGAGCTAAACTGGACATGTTTATGCTCGAGCAGCAGGAGGCGAGCTCTGTGCCTGGGAAACTGCTGCAGAGCCGCCACTGTTTTCCCAGCTGTGGCGACGGCGCCTGGGAAAGCTCGTCATTCCACCACAAAAATAATCCGGAGCTGAGCCAGCAGCTGCCTCAGCCCCCATCTGCATCTCGGACCCTGAACCGGAGCTCCCGAGTCCGCTGTGGACGAGGCGGGGACGCTGCTGCTGAGCTGAGTGCACGTCACCGTGAAGGAAGCCCCTCCCCCCCCTCCAGCATGTGTGGTGTCGCTCCTGCACCAGGAACCACCCGCCCAGGCTCCATGGAGCAGGGGCCGTGGAGACAACCCGCAGACGCGCTGCGCACCCTTGCCCGACGGGAGCACGAGCACTCATCCAGAGCAGCTCTGGGCACCCCGGGGCACAACTCCCCCGGCTCTGACAGGCCCCAGCGACACCCTCCACACCACGACCAACCATCTCAGGACTCCTAAAGCCGAGAAAGCAGACTCGCTCCGGCCAGGGGCCTGCGGCTCTGTCACAGCCGTGGAGGCTGTCGGGGACACGGGAGCCACCACCCCAGCCTCTGGGAGCACTGCAGACGGACGGGCCACCTAGACTCAGTTCAATCTCAAAAATGGCAAAAGGACTAACCACAGTGAGTCTTGTGACCTCAGGATCATCTGTGTGAGCGCGGAGAGCCAACCGTGCTGAGCCGGACACCCGCCCGGGCGCACAGCGAACCCCTCGTGAACCCCGCGCTGTGGTTTCACCAGGGCACGTTCTCCCTGCCAAGGAGACCTGCTGACAATCAAGCTGAGTTCCATGTTACGCACAAGCACACACGCGCGGCGACCATGGGCCTAGCTTTCCTGTGTGGGAGACGCTTTCACACACACCCGCCCCCAGAGTCCTGCTATGTCTGCCCAGTGGGCGGCATTTTCTCATCCACATTGGAAGGCGGAGGGCAGGTGGAGGGGCTGTTTGTTTAGGGCAAAAGCCATAAACAACAACCGACGGGGGAATCTGTGCTTCATGAAGAAAGCTGTGCAAGAAGACAAATGCTGCACCGGATGGTGAGAAACACGGCGGCCACACGGCAGGCAGACGGCCGGCAGTGTGGTCACAGCGTCACAGCGTCAGCGAGGTGGCTGCTGAAACCCCTCGAGGCCCGGGTGCGGGCGCGGGGAAGGCGCAGCAGAGGGAGCGCTCCGCTCCGCGGTGAGACACTGCGGCTCCCGGCCCCGCGGTGCCCTTGCAGGTAGAACCCGATTCTGGTTCCCTCCCCTCCCATGTTCCCTGTCTTTTCTCTCACTCTCCTTTAACACGGTCATGTCTGATCAGAAGAAATAATAACACTGCTTTCTAAAGTCACAGTTTGCTGAGCTATTTTGTGCTGACACAGGAAGCAGGGCTCACAGATGCTCCCTGGCTGCTGCAGGGCCGTCGGAGCCGGGACGATGGCGGGACGGGACGGCTGGAGGGCAGCCGATGGGCATGTGATGGGGAGGCTGCATCTCTGCAGCCGGCGGGAAAGCTGCTCAGCTCCCAACTCTTGGGCGGTTCTTCCGGCTCAACAATGAGCCCGGAGCCGTTCTAGTCTGAGGCACCCGCTCGGGCCAGCCTGCAAGCCAACCACAGACTGTCGCCCCAGCCCCCCTCTGCTCCAAACGATGCCCAAAGAGTTCCTGGAGAAAGACAAGGACACCACACACAGGCAGGGCAGACCAAGGCACGGCAAAGGGGGACCCAGCAGAACACCCCACCCGCCACGAAGCCAGAAAACCCCCCAAGACCAGCCGCCCGGCAGTTTCTAGTCACTGAAGCCACGCCCACATCGCCACACGGAAGCCAGTGCTGCCTGCAGGTCCTGGCCCCCGACAAGGGGCTGTCCTCTCCCCAGCGGGAGTGCCGGACCGAGGCCTGAAGCGCCAGCAGGGATGTGCCGCGCGCTGTGGTCTCGGCGATGGTGGGGAGGCTCAGGGAACAGCAGCCGCTCAGGAAAGCAGGTGGCAGTTTCTCCAGGAACGACACACGCACGTGCCAACCCCCCCAGGAGCCTCACGGTGCCCCTCCGAGAGGACACGTGCCCTCGCAGAAGCAAGGCCCCGGGAACAGCCTCGTGCCCTGGTCCCGGGCGAGGGGCTGTAACGGGGGCACAAGGGGGCGTGGGTGACGGAGCACTCTGTGCCCTGGCCGTCCGCGAGGGTTAGACACCCACCTGTGACGGATGCACAGAACACCCACG